ACAGGGAGCTGCCGCAGATCGACCTTGGTGCCACTCCAGGTGCCACATGCCACGCTCTCTGAGACGGGCTCCCGCTGACCAGGAGATCCCAGGTAGGCTAGGATGGCTGGTCGGCGATGCTCACGCACACGCTCATGGGCCCCAGGGCTCCATGTCTCTCCTCCCCGAGCTCGGGGACTCTAGGAGGGGACCACCGTGCCTGGTACCTAATAGAAACAAACATATAAATGTGTGTGTACGTGTGCGTGTGTATGTGTGTGGTGTGTGTGCACGTGTGTGTGTGTGTGTGGTGTGTGTGCACGTGTGTGTGTGTGGTGTGTGTGCGTGTGTGTGCGTGTGTGTGTGTGTGGTGTGTGTGCGTGTGTGTGTGTGGTGTGTGTGCGTGTGTGTGCGTGTGTGTGTGGTGTGTGTGCACGTGTGTGTGTGTGTGGTGTGTGTGCGTGTGTGTGCGTGTGTGTGTGTGGTGTGTGTGCGTGTGTGTGTGCGTGTGTGTGTAGTGTGTGTATGTGTGCATGTGTGTGTGTGGTGTGTGTGCACGTGTGTGTGTGTGTGTGGTGTGCGTGTGTGTGAGCGTGTGTGCGCGTGTGTGTGTGTGGTGTGCGTGTGTGTGTGCGTGTGTGTGGGTGGTGTATGTGTGTGTGTGTGTGTGGTGTGTGCGTGCGTGCGTGCATGTGTGTGTGGTGTGTGTGTGTGTGTGTGTGTGTGTGTGTGCATGGGAGTGTGCATGTGTGTGTGTGAGTGCGTGCGTGTGTGTGAGGGAGAGAGACACGGGTTCTCCCCCTGCACTGTATAGACTGAGCTGTCTCTCCAGCCATGGAAAAGCTACACTTTCTGACAAAGGTCGAGAGATCACAAGGATCCCAATGGGAAACAAAATGACTAATAACCAACAAGGTGACCAAGATAGGTGACACTCCAAATCCTCCTACAGGCCGCCTCTTGAGACAAGCCTTTCCGTGGAAGACGGCCTCTCGGCGGGCGCACCCTAAGATGGGATGCAGACGCGGGCGGCTCCTAGGAGGCCCGTGTTTGGTCAGCTCACCTTGCACAAAAGGGAGCTCTGAAGGAAGAGCCCGTCCTGGCAAGCCCTCAGCGCCTTCTTCAAAAAGCTCAGAAGCAGCGCTGAGCAGCAAGCAGTCTCCCGAGCGAGGATCGCAGGAGAGAGGCGGCAAGTGCAGACGGCAGGCGCTGGGCCTCAAACCTTTCTCTGAGGACGGGACGCCCCGGCCAGGGCGGACAGGGAGGCGCCTTGCTTGGCAAAGCGCTTGCTGCGCTCATGGGGCCTGCCTGGTATCCGCCCCCGCAGAAAGCCCGGCAGTCCTGGCCTACCCTCTCAGCCCTGGGGAAGCAGACATGCGAGGGTCCCCGGAGTCCCCGGCCAGGTGGCCCCAGGAAGAGACCCCATCTCCCGGGCAAGGGGGGCTCCTCCCGGGCAATCCAAGGTCAACTGTGGCCCCTTCTAACCGCTGAGCCCCAGGAAGAGACCCCATCTCCCGGGCAAGGGGGGCTCCTCCCGGAGGGAACAGGGGGTGGAGGGAGAGAGGGAGAGAGAGGACAGGCAGAGAGGAGGTGCAGAAAGTGAAACACACTGAAAAGAGGACAAACTAGGACCGATTGCACCCGTCTTTCCCGGGGGCAGAGTCTGCGGGGCTGGAGCCCGCCACAGCCGGGAACACCCACGTGGTCTCCTTGTTCTGCACCCGCGGGAGATGAGAGGCTGTTTATTCCTCAGCCCCTGAGCTTCTGCAAACACAGGAGTGGGAGCTAGCCCTTCCTCTCCCGAGTCCCGCAGGTCACTTCCCCACAGGGGGAGCAGGTGAGGCGGGACAGCAGCCAGCGCTGCCCTCCCCCACCGGCCTCCTCCGGCCTGTCCAGCCTCAGCCCCCCCAGAGCAGGGATGAATGTTCACACGGACGCACATGCTCGGGAGATGAGCAGCCAGAACGTCCTTCACAGCGAGCACCTGCACATGGCCCGGGAGGGGCAGATTCCCGTCTGGCTGAGAGTGAGCATCCGAGGGACACAAAAGCCCTCAGAGAGCTCTGGGTGATGGGGCCTGTGGCCCTGGACAGGGAAGCTAGACCCGAGGAGGGGCTGGCCTCTAGAGCGGTGCAGTTCACTGAGCTCGCTACTGAGCCCAGCCCACCGCCCTTCTCCCAGCCGGCAAAGCTAGCCATTCAGATGACAGCTCCGTGGCCGAACCAGAGCTGCAGCTTCTCGCCCATTCTGGCCCATCAGAGATGAGATGAAGTCAACCTGACACTTTAAAAGAGGCCAAGGAACAGCAAGGGCGTGTCCCTGCCTCTGGACATTGTCATGAGGTAAGGTAAGCCTTGACCTTCAGCCACAGTGGACCAAACCCATGGGGCAGACAGCAAACACGGAGAAGACAGGTCTCACTAACTCGGAGGCCATCCGGGTCAGGTGGCTGTGCTCTCCAGGTCGAGCCTTCTTGGTCCAGACCCTGAACTGCACAGTCACCAGAGGCAACCCAACCGAGGCACAAACTCAGCTGGGCGCGAACACAAGGCTTCCGTCCAGGGAAAATCAGTGCTACCACAGGTGCACCCTAAAGGCCGGTGGGGCTGCAGGTAATGGGGCTGCAGGTACTCCCCTGCCCGCCTGAGCCGCTTTCTGCCTCAGTGACGGAGCAGCGCTCACGCCATCTTTGAAGCCCCGTTTCAGCCTCTAGGAACATAGTTCCTAATATCTTTCCCGTGTGAATGACCTTCCAACTGCCCTGCAACTTTGTGGGTATCCGCGTGAGTTCCACACAAAAAGAGAATGCCACAGGAGCGTGGGCAGCTGCCTGTCAGGGACACACACCTTAGGAAACGTGACTCTCTCCCTGTCCTAGCTATCACCCCAGGTCAGGTCAGGCCTCACCTCCTCCAGCCGGGGTGGCTGGATCTTGTGCACAGTCACACTCTCTGAGTGCGTGTGCGCAACCTCCCTTCCTCGAGCAGGAAACACGATTCACGGCAGTTCTCAGCCACCTCCGGCTTCATGATCCTTCGGCCCACACTTCTGGGGTCGTCCCTGAGCCTCGGACAGGACAGGCATTCAGCAGACGCTCTGTTGAGATGCGCGCCTCCCAGTCTCGTCCCTCTGCACCAAGAGGCACCTGTTTGCACAAGGCCCGCCGCTGGCCCGTCATCTGTGTTAAGTATCTCCAAAAGGAAAAGCACACGGCTAACACACACACCGTCTGTGACCCTCAGGGAAATATGCTGGACTAGGGCTGCTGGGCAGTGACACTGCTTAAACGCTCCTTAGTTTGGGGGGTCTGAGGTGTCGTACAGGCCTGAGAAAAACTGACTTGGTTAAGAACGAACGCTCAGGCTTCAGTGAGGCCGGGCGGAGGAATCGCACCATTGGCCATTTAAGTCATTCACAGATGTCAGGCTGTGTCAGTGTGTGTGTGTGTGTGTGTGTGTGTGTGTGTGTGTGTGTGTGACCTCAAGCACGCATACGCGTGTGCAGGTCAATACTGAGTATTCCTCAGTGTCTCTCCACCGTCTTTGGAGAGCGGGTCTCCCTCTGAGCCTGGAACTCCCCAGGTTAGCTGGGCTGGTTGGCCGGTGAGCCTCGAGGCTCCACCCGCCTCTGCTCTCTGGCTTTGCCAGCTCTTATCTTGGATAGAGACACAGACACATACTCGTTTCTTACACTTCCACAGGAGGCACTTTCCCAAATGAGCCATCTCCCCACTCCTCAAAACTCCTATATTGATTGCAGTTTCTGGCGATGAGCTTTCTGTCGCCTTGTCGCCAGATCCCGACATCACCAGCACCTGGCCCGGCGCCCCACTTGCAGCCCCCCCGCAGCTTAGAACGGTACTCAGAGCAGGGTGCCCTACCAAAGTGGGTCTGTATTCAGGGGAGAGTTCTTTCGAGGAGCTGGGATCTCCCAGGGCAAGACCTGGCTGCGCCCCCACCCTGGCCGCTGTCATGTGAAGTTTGACAATAAGCTGCACGGGAAGCCAACACTCTGGATCGCAGGCCTGACATCTGTGAATGACCTCAGGTGAAACCCTCCGCCTGGGCTTACTAAAATCTGAGCCACCTTTCTTGACCAAGTCGCTTTTCCTGAGACGAGTACAATGCCTCAAATCTCCCAGACTAATGCACGGGCATCGTCAGCCGTGCCTGGCCCTGAGCAAAAGAAAGAACCGTGCGCTGTCCCCAAGACACACCCTAGAGTGGCCATAGTTACCCGGCGACAGTGTCACCCCCATTTCCAAAATGGTGGGCACGTGCGACGTGAGCGCCAGGTCTGAGGACGAGCCACCCAGAAAGTCACGCCCTCACAGCCTGTCACAGCAGACACAGGAGAGGGAGCCCTTCCTCATGCAGGGCTCTCTCTGCATGAGGGCAAGGCACTCCAGAGAGCTTCTGAATATGGAAGATTTTTTTAAGAAGCAAGTCTTTTCTATTGTGCAGCTTCCTGTTGCAGGAATGTGCACTTGAGATCAACCAGCTTTAAAGAGAAAACACTTATTTGGCTGCGGAGTCGGAGAGCTTAGCTCTAACTCTCTGGTCCCAGTGTTGGGCAGCATGGACGTACTGAGTGCTGGGACAGACTGCCTCACTGAGGCACAGAAGGAGAGAACGGAGAGGAAGGAGACCCTGGGGTCTCAGGGCCCTCAAGACCATGCCCCAGAGGCCTGATTTCCTCTACCAGGCACAATCTCCTAGCGCTTCCGCTGCCCGTCAGCGGTACTGTGCCAGCGTGCAGGTGTCTGGGCACCTCTGCTAAGGTGACCATGGGTTAAAGTAAGATCAGTTTATCCCAGTTCTGCTTCTGCTTATGGACTGCAGACGGTGAGCTTGGAAAGACCTAATCTAAACATGTTTATATCCTCTAGCAATATAACGCTTGATCACTTCTCTGAAGGAAAATAAGCTTTCAAAAGAAAGCTTTTTTTAGAACAGTCGGTGCTAATATAACCGGAGGAACTTCATCAGCTATAAAATAGTACATCATACACTCTTTGGAACCTATAATTTTATTGGTGTATTTTAGGTCCTCTCTTACGTCAAGACCTGCTTGTGTTGTGTTTCATTTTTAAGACAGTGAGTGACTCATGGAATCAAGCCTGGCCTCCAACTTGTGATGTTGTCAAGAATGGTGTTGAATTTCTGGGCCCCTGACCCCTCCTCCCCATGCTGAGATCACAGGAATGAGCATGCCAAGCAGCGAGCAACGGTGGATACAGAGCACACGCACGCTGAGCATACACCATCCACTCCCTTGCTCTGTGGCACTGGGGCTGGAACCCGGCCATTGGGGATGACAGGCAGCTGCTCCACCATGGAGTGCCGACCTCACAACTGTCCCAGAAAAGCTTAGCTGTCAGTAGGACACTCTTGGGACTCTCAGGGGTATTCCGTGTTTGCTAAGCTTTTCTTCTCCAGATGAAAATGTCAGTCTTTTGGTTTCGCTATGGTTGGCATATAAAATGCGTCCCGGGCATACTTCAAAGTTTTCAGGTCAATGGGGACCTGTGGTTAAAGAGAATTGTGGGCTCCTTGTCTGCCACACCTTCGCAGCAGCGTGGGGGACCAGCAACTTCGTCTTGCCGCCCGAGACTCTCCCGGCTTCTCCTAACCCTGTCTTCTTACACTGAGCCTCCTTTCACTGTACCTGTCGTTGCACGCGCTCGCCGGCTCCTCACGCCCTTACTCTGAAACAGAGCGGCCCTTCAATAGTGCTGTTCTCCTATTTCCTCAATTAAGAGTAAATTTTCATTAACTTTGAATGTGGCTTGACGCCTCAAACCAGTCTGCTCCAAATATCCATGGCTTTGGAAAGGCTCAACTTCGCTTGTTATTTCATGTGAATTTAATATTCTGACCCAAACTTTCCACACGCCATATCCTCCAGCTTCGTTCTGTCTCTAAGAAAAAAATTGAAAGCCAATTAAAAGCCAAAATCAACTATTTTCAGCCTCGGTTTTCAAATGTCAGTTTGTTTTACCTAACTACTCGATTTCTATCCGGTAACTCTAAACTTTCGTATTTGACATTTCCCTGCTGAGGAAAAACCGTAAAAGCCTGGCCCTGCGCGCTCTGCGGGGAAGCTGGCTCCTCCCAGCCCGGGCTGGCCGGGCAGACGCGCTTGCGCAGTGCAGAGGCGCTGCCTCCCGGGTCGCCGGGGTCGGGCCCGGCGGTGGCTGCGCCCAGCACTGTGGGGCACGGCCCTGCGGGCACCCGGGCGGTCGGAGGTTGGTGGCTGTCCACGTCCGGACGCCCACGCTGGCGCTGCGGCGGAGCAGAGGCCTTGGCTCGTCCTCCCGGCCCCCGCCGAGAACCGGCTGCTGGAGCGCAGGAGGCTTCGGCTCTGCTCCCCCGTGCGGGGTGCTCCGTGGGCGCCGCTCAGAGGGAGAACGGGGGCTGCCCGTTCCCCCGCCGCGTGGGAGCGCAGAGCCAGCGGGCTGCAGAGCGCAGAGGCCCGGACGCCCAGCGGGGCAGAGGTGTCCGCACGTCGAGGCTGTTTCTGTAGACACGGCGCCTGCCTGCCCCGCCGCCAGGGCCCGCGTGGCCGGGAGCGAGCCTGCAGCACGTCTCCGCGCAACTTTTGTTCTCCAGTTCCACTTGTTCCTGGCGTGAAATCTGACAAACAGCAAAATCCTGAAACAAAAAGAGAGGGAAGGAGGGAGTGAGGGGGAGGGGGAGAAGAGCGAGTGTGTGTGTGTGTGTGTGTGTGTGTGTGTGTGTGTGTGTGTGTGTG